TTTCAAGGATTTTACTCCCATTGTCTTTCTTATGATAAATTGGTTTTCTTTGCTTCTTTGTGGACCAAGCTCGTGGTTCCTTTAAGGATGTCTCTTTGGGTATTTTGCAAAGGGACTGGGACGCCTTGTTGTTTTAATTTTATGGTTTCTGCTGACTATCATAATACTGCCATGTTTTCTCTAGAACATTCATGATATTTGCTTCCTTTTATATTTTAGATATCTTTGAGATTAATGTATGAGTTCCTTGGTTATTGTAACAGTTTATAACTAATTTTTTAATGAATATAAACCTTGTATATATACTGTAAATGTCCTTATAAGAAATACGTAGAAAGGTACTCTTTTGATTTTATAGTTATCTACAACATGATATTAGAGCTAATGTCCATGATTGCTGTTCAATCACAAAGCTGATTTGGGGAGGAAGAGTTTCTATTATTGAAATATGAAGGACCTGTTCATACAAGTTTACATGAGCAAGATAGGGAATAGACTTTATTACAATGAGAGGGTTATGTTGCTAGTATCTCCTTTACCCTACTTTAATATATTTTACACTTCTCAACACTCACCCTCAAGTTAGTAAATAGATATTATCTATTCCCAACTCGATAATAATACTAAGATTACTTAATTCTTTAGTCAATACGTCTGCAAGTTGCAAAGCAGTAGGTGTATATGGAGTGCATATCAATCCATTATCTAGTTTATCCATGATGAAATGTCTGTTTACTTCAATATGCATTGTGCTGTCATGTTACTCTGGATTTTGAGGGATATTAATAGTTGATTTATTGTCACAATAGAATCTCACAGACCCATTCTGTTGAATCTTTAAATTTTCTAAAATCATCATTATAAAGCTATATAGGATGAACTAAACTTTCTAACTCTACCAAAGAAGATGATACATTTTAGAAGCTATTCTATTCCTCTCTTTCCAAACCAATCATGATGTAGCCAAGGGATCCCAAGAGCTATCAATTCTGCATGGGGACTAGGGGATCCCACATGTAAAATTGGCTAGAGACCTATATCCCCTGGGATCCCAGTGGCTGTTAAGTCCAGATTGCTTTGCTATCACTGGTTTAGGTTTTTTTTCTTCTTAACAAAATCGTGTTTTCATACTATGTGTGAAACTAGGTTTAGAGAGGAATAATATGAGAGGGTACTTTGTACAATAGTCTTGCTAATTTATATATTGTGCCATTGTGATACAGTAATTATATGACTTACATTAATCTGTTTTTGTGTCTTGGAAGAATAAGTCTTGGCTGGGGTCCCTTATCAACACTATTATTGGGAACTTGAAGCTTTCAATTTCAAATATCCACATACGATATGAGGATCTTGAGAGGTAAAGAAAAGAACTTACAACTTATCGATCTTGATATTTTCTTGATTTTTGTTAACCACTTAAGAATTCTTCCTTGCAGCAATTCTGGGCACCCATTTGCTGCTGGTGTAACCCTGCAGAAACTCTCAGCTGTGACTGTTGATGATAGCGGGAAGGAGACTTTTGTTACTGGTGGTGCACTAGATCGTATACAAAAGGTTCCTGTCCTCATATGAAATAAATATTTAATTGATGTCTATCTAAAGCAAACAAGCTTCTGATGTTTGATGAAATGCTCAGGACTACTTTTACAGGCTTATCATCTAGGGGCTTACTGAAATAGTACATGAGGTTTTTTGACTCTTCAATTGGACTCAACTACCACCTTCTCCTGTTCCTCCAAAAAAAAAAAAAAAGAAAAACAAAAATACCAGCTTCAGCAGCATCAAACCTAATGTTGTTGCTGCTCTTTCTACTGTTTACAGGAATACCATGGCAGTTGCTACCTCTGCAATAAGTGGCAACTGATGCCACAGTAATTATTCTCTGCTAGGGTCACTGTGATGCTATATAGCTAGCACCGCAAACATTATATTCTAGCACTACACCGCTGCCATTATGTTCCCATGATTAATGGTTTCCAATACTCTGTTGCTTTATACTCTTCAAGTTTCACTTTAATTGCTGATAATACTACAATAAGAGTGGTTTCTTTGTCATAGATTTTTTTCATGCTAGATTCACATGTTTATCGGTATCTGGTAAATTTCACGATGTATAATATTTTATTTAACTTCTAGCTGGAAAAGCAAAAACGAAAAACTTCAGGGACTTTATGATTACTGAAATTCTTAATTTTCATGATCCTCAAGGTCCCAAATTATATGTCAACACTTCTGAATAGTTAGCATGCTTCAAGTCCTTGTGGAATGAATTATTTTTCTAAATGTAGCAGAGAATAAAACGATTGGTTAAGCAAGAAATAAAACTTGGGATTTTTATATTTCCTTATGCTTTTGTTCATATGGGAATTTGGCTATTTACAATTCCTTATGCATTGCAGTCTGTTGAACTTAATGAGCTTGCCCTTTATCTGGATTCTGATATATCTCCATGGCATATCGAGAAGGCATGGGAAGATTTGCTTCCTTCTGAATGGGTTCAGGTATTGGTATCCTCCATGGCGTTGGTTCACGTAGCATATGCTCTTGTTTGATCTATTTAGTTATCTTTTATCACCATGTTATCATTATTTAGTACCTGTTGATCTTCAGCTCTTCAAATTTGGTACGGAGGGTGGTAAGCCTGCCGATCATTTAACAAGGAGACATGCATATGTTTTGCAACCAATTACTGGAAATGCAAAGTACACTAAGATGCGGTCAGGTGAATCTGCTGATAATGGTCAGCCCTTACAGAAAGTGCTAGTGAACTTGGATGACGTGACACTATGTCTATCAAAGGTTATGATCTTTAAATTTAGTAGATTTTGGTTATGGGCTTACGGAAATCTAAGCACTTTCTTGTTTGCAGGATGGGTATAGGGATGTTCTGAAATCAGCAGATAATTTTGCAGCCTTCAACCAGCGCTTGAAGTATGCACATTATCGTCCATATGTTTCAGTAAAATCTGATCCAAGATCTTGGTGGAAATATGCTTATAAAGCTGTTTCTGACCAGATGAAGAAGGGAAGGTATTGAACTATATAATTTTCTTTTTATGTCCTTTTTGCTCTGATTCATCAAGCTGTTTGCATAAAAAAGGTCAACCCTTGCAGAGAAAACTTATAAACCTCAACCATGTTGGAAAGTTACATATTGTATGTGGAAATTGTGCTGTGCGTACATAGTTGTGCTGGTATAAAGCTTTAAATGATCAAAGACTTGGGATTGAATCTAGCCATCTTGAAGATTATAGGGGATAAGGGGATGAGGGTCAGGGTCGCTCTTCATTGTATAGGCTAGCCTGCAGACCGGTAAGCCACCTACAAAAAATGGCATATATTGAATTGAGATTACTAAGTATTTTGTGCTTATGATAATTTTGAAGAAACTAAGTGGATAGTTTGGGTAGAGATGGAAGGCTTGGTTATCCTTTTTGATACTTTTTTTGGAAAATGTTTGACATGTCGAATATGATTCTATTTTGCACTTTCTAAGAATATATGATTCTATTTTGCACTTTCTAAGAATATATGATTCTATTTTGCACTTTCTAAGAATTTTTTGTTTGCCAGTGGAAGGTTATCATGGGATCAGGTTCTGAAGTATGCTAGGTTACGTAAGAGATACATTTCTCTTTATGCGTCATTGCTTAAGTCTGACATCAACCGACAAGTAATTGATGACAACAAAGAGATTGAAGAACTTGATCGCGAGCTTGATATCGAAGTCATACTACAGTGGAGGTAATTTTTTATTTTAATTTTGACTGATTCAAGTAATCTCTCTTGATTTTTAGGTGAATATTTTAGAATTGGTTGCCCATACATCTTCAATGGATTGAGACTCTTTTCATTAAGGCTCTCAGCGATTCTTTTTCAGAATTTCTTATCTAGTAGCCACTAGCAAGCTCATATATTGGTGAACTCATGTTTATTTGTTTTATTATAATAATTGTATTAGGATTGGATTTTT